GATTAGCCTTGGAGATCTACCGACCTGAACAGCCCTCCTAAAGAAAAGCCACAGTAACACCCTATTTTCCTCTTCCCACTGCCACACGAGGTCTGCCCGGAGATAGAAGTCGAGTTCTGCTTTGGTCCGTGTCACTTATTTCTGGAAAATTTTCTGTCTTCTCTCTTTCCCACAAACACACCTTACCCCTGCTCTGTCTTTCAGAAGAAAATAAAACAAAGAAGAAGAGACACTCCAGAAAAAAAAAAAAAAAATCCTGCTTTGCAACCTCCCTCCTTCCTTCCTTCCTTCCTTCCTTCCTTCCTTCCTTCCTTCCTTCCTTCCTTCCTTCCTTCCTTCCTTCCTTCCTCCCTTCGTTCCCTCCTTTCTTCCCCGCTCCACGCAGCCCAGCAAAGAGCCGGAGCTGCAGGTGGTTCGTGCAGCGGCAGCCGCGGCCGGAGCTGCTGCCCCGGGGCTGCCGATCCCGGGAGCGCCGGGCAAGGCTGCCGCGGCAAGGCTGTGCTCGCCTTGGCTCCCTCGTCCTCCCTCCCCGGCCTAGAGAAAGCACTGGTTTGGTGCCCTTAGCCGCTGCAAGGAAATTTGAGGAAATTCACACGACGCTGCAGCGTGATATAAAAGCAGCAGCATCTCTCGGCTGGAATGCTGAGCAGAGCAGGATCCAGAGGCTGCCCCGAGCTCCCGCACGGGTAGAAGGCTCAGAGAAAAACACCTATTGATTTTATACGCTTTGCTCCTAGCTAATGAGGGCAGATACCGTGCAATATGGAAAGATCGGATATACAGGCGAGTTTTCTCCGCTCCCCGCCACCACCCCCACCACCCCAGAGTCTGCTTCCTTGGGAACTGGCTTCTCCTCCTGCACTTCACAAGCCCTGGGAGGTGAGGAGTGATCCTCCAGAAGGGCCGGCACACTGGGAGCTGTTAAGTTTATGTTTGTGGCGCCTGAGCTCAAACAGTCATTCAGTGGCTTGCTCTGTTATCAAGAAAACAACAATCAGGAACAATCAGTAAACAGGATCTCTTTCCAGCCCCTTTATTAACTACTTACAGCTCCGCTAAAGCACGCAAAGCGCCCAGCAGCAGCAGCATCTCTCACCGTGAAACGCTTTCGGCGTTTCGGGTGTTTAGAGAGGGCCAGGCAGGATCAGGGCCCGTGAAACCCGCTCGGCACCAGGACCCTGACCCCTCCCCGGCTCCGTCCCGGGCGCTGTGCTGCGGCTGGGGCTGCTGCGGCCTGAGGTCTGGCATCATCTGAAGGCCCCCTATTCCCTCCCTGGCCTCCGTTCTTAGGTAACCCAACGTGAATCTGTTAATACACGTATGCATACAGATGTATACAAATGCAAACACTTACTGTTGACGTGTTTAACTGATCTCAACTCTGGAATTCACGTACCCGGCTTCTGCGTCACACCGCCACGTTGGCTGGGGATGCTGAGAGCTAATTAACCTGGGTACAAATATTGAAATGAGAAGAGTTTGAATATTGATCTCAGTGTGTGCAAACGAAGTCCTCAGAGAAATTATAGCGGGCTCATTTGACACTATTAAAAGTAGCTGCAGCAAGAACTGAGCCGGCGGATCAGGTATTGCTAATCGCCACCCTCGGTCCAGACCAGAAAGAGGAATCAGAGCAGAAACCTGGCAGAGCACCATAGGGACATGCATTTCACGAAGAGGGTCTTTTCTCTCGCTTACACGAATCCTGCTGCCCAAGCTCAGGAAGTGCTCTGCCAAAGGCACTAGGAGGATCCGCTTGAAAGTTTGTCTTTATTCGCTTCAAGGTGGAAAACACTCCGGACTTGTGGGGCCTCACAAATGCATGTAATGAAAAATGGAATCAAAGGCCATAAAAGGGAAAAAAAAAAAAAAAAAACTAACAAAACAAACCTCTGAAATCAGAGGAGTATTGTTTAACCAAAATTTCGAGGGTGGAGGTTCCGGGCTGACCGCGGGTGTGGAGGCCACAGCGGCCGTGGGGACGCAGAGACCCCGGAGTGGCCACCGCAGGAGAGACCCGATCCTTCCTACGACGGACAGGACTGGGGGGCTCGGGCCCTCTGCGGAGGCGCTGACAGGAGCCTGGCAGTGGGTGTGCGTGCAGGCACATCCCTGGCGGTGGGTGTGCGTGCAGGCACATCCTTGGCGATGGGTGTGCGTGCAGGCACATCCCTGGCGGTGGGTGTGCGTGCAGGCACATCCCGAGTGGGCTCCCGGCCCGCAGCTGCAGAGCCGCGGCAGCGCTCCGGCTCCAAAGACGCGCTGCTGCCCTGTGTGTTTGTTCCAAGGTGCAAGACACTGTGCTGGCAGCCCGAGCGCCAATCCCTGCCTGCCGGCGGGCGGCTTATCTCGACGGCTGCCCAGCCGCCCCGAGGGCGCGCCGGGACCGCGGGGCGCCTGGGAGAGCTGGGGGGCCTTTCCCTCGCAGGGGCCGGCAGCCCCAGGTCCCCCTCCGGCGTGGCCCTCGGAGCCCAAAGGCGTCCGGCCGCCCCAAGGCCCTCCGCGGGCGGGGGGCAGAGGGGCAGCTCTCGGCAGCCCCCGGCGAGCAGGCTGCTCCCTCTCGGGGTCACCCCCGCCCTGCGTGACCCCGCGTCTCCCCCGCTGCTGCCACCTCCGCGTCAGCCTCCCTGCGGGAAGAGGCCAGCGCCGAGGGCCCCAGGTTGCCCTGCCCTCACAGGTTTCCAGCGCCAGTTGCAGACCCTCCCGAGTCGGAGACTCCGTCTCCAAACTCACCCAAGTGAGAGCGACTCCAAGAACTCACAGGTCAGACCACCGGGCAGAAATGATACCCCTTCTCCCTCCCGCCCCCCGAAGCGCCGTACCAATCCTCTGATCCTGCATGAAAACACAAGCGTTACTGATCACACAGTTTAAGGTAGATTTCATATTTATTTAAATATTTATCAAGTACTCAAAAATGTATTACACTTGAGCATACAAAATGAATCCAGTTTCTAATCAGGATGATTGAAATCCTTGTATTAGATTTTAACATTTTTTTAATGTTCTCTGTACTGTCGAAATGGTTTGTCTATAGCTGAGCTTGCTCAGAGTGGGCTGAGATGGTGAGGAGGGAAGGAAAAGAAGGTTATGTTAAGAAAACATTGGGGTTTGGAGTAACTGACATGCAAACCAACTTGTCTTTGTCAGACTGAAAATCTCTGTATGTTCCAGTCCTTAAGGGTGTTTTAAAGTGAACCTTTGTCTTGTGCTGCCCGCGAGCACTAGGGAGCACTTGGATTGGAGCAAAAACAACCCTTTCCCATTTTTTTTATTTACTTCTTTCTACTTTTCCCCAAGAAATCGCCCACATTTCTAGCTTTCACCACCCTCTCCCCCGCAAATTAAAAAAGGAAGAAAAGAGGGAGTGAAGAGAGGGAAGTCGACAGAAAATAAGGAACATATTCGTGCAATTTCACAGCAATATCCCCGACAGAAATATCCCCACAACTATTCCTCCTGCAGCATTATTTAATTGTTTTGACAGCAGACATTGATAAATAATGGTCATACTTGACTTGTTAAGCAAAAAGCGTCCCTTTTATCAGGAGCTTATACTTAAAGTACAGGTCACTTCAACAATCTCAACAACGAGGCTTTGGTATACAGCACTTTCTTTTTATTATTTTTTAAAAATAGCAGAACTCAGCAAAAAGCCTGAGCTCTCACTTCTTTAGATGTCTTAACGTTATGTCTGATCATGCCTAGAGTAATATCACTTTTAAGGGCAAGGGATGGGGTGGGGGAACAAGAGACTTTCTAACGTTATCGATTGAAAGCTAAGGCATCCAACTAGCCCTGATACAGTTGTTGAAACGGAAATTTACAAGCTGGTCGTTAATACTTGCAATAAAATATCACACTCCTTTTATTCACTAACGACCGGCTTTGCATGCAATATTTTATTTCAGGTATTTTAGCTGCTAACCTGTAAATATTTAAAAGAGGGAACTTTGTTCATTATTTAATGTTAATATTATTATTATTATTATTATTATTTCTATTCCAAACGCTTATCTAGTGAAATAGTCCTGAAGATATAATAATTCTACATATGGCGCTTTTATTTCACATCATATTTAAGGAAAGAAAAAGGACAAAACCACATAGAGTTAGACATATAATTCAAAGACCACGGTACAACCTTTTCTTTTTTTTTTCTTTTTTCTTTTTTACTTCAGCAAACAAAAAAAAATAGTCAACTGACATGAAAAGTGGCAAGTCTTCCAATAATAAATAATAAATTACTTTATAATTTTGCAATGCAAGAGCAAACAAAAGGAGTGATTTTTTTTTTTACTTGTCCTATTTTCTTTTTTTACTTTTTTTCCTATTTTTTTTTTTTTTCTAGAGAGTGAGAGATAAAGAGAAAGGAAAGAGAGAAAAACAGTCGTTATAACCAATGACTATACACATCTCTGGGGGAGGGGAAGGTTCTTGGGCGGACACATTTCAAACACAATCCCGAGACGCTTTGTGGCAAAATAGAGGTATACCTTGTTGCAATGTTTTTATAAATTCGCCTTTAAAGAGGAATTCAAAAACCTATTTTTAATCGCATCACACTTAATAGGGGGTGGATCTCAACCAAACAAAATCAAAACCCCGCAACAGGCATGCTAGAAGAGACCCAGGATAAACCCCTTGTTAAGAGTCAACATTGCAAACCAATGCAGCTCCACCTTCCTGCAAGGAATCTTTCAGCAATGCAGGGCTGAATCGTCTCTTTCCTGATGATGGAAAACCTACTGGAGCTTCTTTTGGCAAGGCTATCCCCAATATAGAAACAGCACCATTCGGAATGGGAGGGACCGGATAGAAACTCCCTCTACCTTGGTTTCTCCCTAAGATGTGCAGTCAAATGAAAAGATTTCCTTTTTTTTTTTTTTTTTTTTTTTGAGATCCACGAGTACAAATCCATTATATTTGGAAAATGTCTTTTCGGTACTCCTCTGACAATTGAAAAGCACGGGGTTTGTGGTTCTTTTAAGTATTTTTTTTTCTAGTAAGATCCCATGATTGTCTTCACAGTGTTGCTACCATATTACCTTGTCTTTTCAAATATGACTCCGTTCATCTCATGGAGCAGTTCCTTGCTAGGTTCATTAAAGGGTTGTTAAGTATTCTTTCCCCCTAAATTTCGAAGTCCCAACACGTTCACTTTCCCACTCTCTTCAACAGGGTTGAGGGTAAGGGCAGAAACAACAACAACAGATATTTGAATGAATGTTCCTCATGCCTCAATAGGACTGGCTACCATGCTGTTGGGTGTATCTGGCAGCTGAGAGGACATTGATGCTACTTCACTTCCAGTAGAATTGGAACCAGGTCCTCCTTCTGAAAAATTAACCTGCCAAAAAGAAAAAAAAAAGAAAAAAAAAGGAAAAAAAAGAAAAAAAAAAGAGAGAGAGAGAGAGAGGAGAAAAAAAAGAAGAAAAATAAGAAAAAGAACTGTTGCTACAACTGTAAAACTCAAAGAAAAGTAGCAGGCAAAGAAGAACACAAAAATAAATATACAAGGCATGCAGCCAATAGGCCTGATACATCTGCGCAGGGGGCTGTGTCACTGCTGGTTGCTCTGTTTAGCTTCCCCATTGACTTCACAGGAACCTTCTTCAGGCCTTTGGCCAAATCACCAAGAAAAAGTATATTAAAAAAAATGAAAAAAGAAGACTGAAAAAATCAAGCAAATAAGCAAACAAACTTATTAATGAGGCCTTCTTCCCTGCCTTGCAAGAGTGGCAATCCCGAGAGGATGTTCTAGTAAATTATGTAGGAGTGCATGTGTTTTCTTGACATGAAACTGAAAGATTACTATTTTCCCCTTTTGTGCACATACCAAAATAAACCTGGAAGGAGCATCGAGGAGCAGAAGGCATTTGAAATCAGCCATCCGCTTTCATTCCTGATTCGAGGCTGGTGCTATCTCTTCTTAATGAGAGTCTGTTTGATAAAAAAGGTCACACTATTCCATCTTAATGTGCCCCGCTGCTCCTGTTAGTTTAGGAGTAGTGCTGGGAAAAGGCATGACTTGAGGGTGAAGCTTTGTTAATCCAGAAGCATTTATTTGGCACCTATTTAGCTGGCCAATTCTGTGATTAAGGCCCTTTCCAGATTAGAGCCGTGTCTTGAACGGCCAATGAATGGTCTGTTCCTTCCACTATTCTTTAATTTAGCTCTTTTCAGTATCACATATTATGTTGAATGTATATCAATATTAATTTGTCAATCTAATGGTCTATTTACTTATATATGTGTGTGTATTTGGACTATCCGTCTTCCATCCTGCCTTTTTTTATTTCCTTTTTTGAACAATTTAATACAAAACCTCACTGCATCAAAGATTTTTAAAGTCTTGTATTTTGTTAAGGCACAGTAAGTAAAGCAACCAGAGGAGATAATTTTTTCTCTCATCTGATGGACAGCTTGATTAAAGCAGGAAAAGCAGTGGTTGCTTTAGATGTAAGAGGATGCAAATAGCCCTGCTGCTGTGCTACAGTTTCCTGAGCAAGCATAGTGTGCCAGCCAGGGGAACGCACTGCAGATTGCTGTTGGGCAAAAGAAAAGGGATTCTGCAGGACAGCATGATACTAAACCGAAAAGGTCTGAACACAGTGCTAATCCAACTACAAACCTTTGTCTTCCATCACTTGGTGTAAAAAAAAAAAAAAAAAAAAAAAAAAAAAAAGAAAAAAAAGAAAAAAAAAAAGCCCAACAGATCAAAAAAAATTTGCATGTTAATTTTTCATAACTGTTATTCTGAATCCCTGAAATACTATACACAATGTACCTTTCTATTTTAAATATCTGGTTTTAACAGACTTAGGCCAGGAAACTGACTTAAGACTGAACTTCTCTCCTTAACTCACCTTGTTGTGCCTAAGTGTTGTTGGTGATATGGTCCCATATGGACTGCCAAGTGACATAGGCATAAGGAAGTGAGTTAAGGACAGAATTTCTTCTAAAAGGTCTATTTTGATTTGGCTTAAGGTAGTTTATTAGATGACTCAAATTTTTCACCTAAATACATACTAGCAAATTCCTCTCCAAAGGACATCACTTAATGTAAGCTATATATGTGTACAGATTGATGTGTATATATGGATACATAAAGTTATATCTAGAAGTACATGCTTAAGACACAGACTTTGTTATTTTAATTAAGAGGTCATATTTGTCTGACAAAACAAGGGCCATGGCTGACACTAATCATGTATTTAAAATTCATCCTACAGCATAAAGGCAAAATCAGTCTGAAGTGGGATGGGTGAATTCTAGAAACTGCTTTCACAGATATAAGTACAATTAAGTGACAAATAAAGAAGGCTTTGGTGAAGTGCTTTCAGTTTTCAGGAGCGTGCAAGCTATTATGATAATAAAGGCCTGACCTGATTCGGGCCTTATCCAAACTCACACTCAACTAAGAAATATCTCTGCTGTACACTAAGATCGATTTTGCACCAACCTCTGTGAAATCAATTCAGTTCTCTGCTTTTACAGAAGCAGTCGTGCACGCCTTGCAATTTCTGGAAAACCCAGTTAATCTGGATTGCTTGTCTCTCTGAGAGCATCTGGCACCTGGAGTGAATCGCCCATTGCTCTGACCCGGGTACCGGCTGGCTCGGGCGGGGAACCGACACTTACTAGTTGCTGAAAAGCAGGTTGGTCTATGTCACTCTGCAATGCGAAGTCACTCAGTACTTTCCAGGGCGGCTGGTAACTCTGCACCTCCACGGGGTTCGCCTGCAAACCGCCGTCATGTCTCTCCGGACTAGCAGCCACCATTGGAGTTCCTGTCATCCCTTGGATATTCTGTAAACAGCCCGGCAAAAGATGTTAATGAGCTTGGTTAGCTTTATTGTGTATAAACGCTGAGTCAATAAACTGCTTTCTATCTTATCTATACGGTCGCTTGTATTTGCTTTGTTAATCTGCTGTGAATGTCTTACTCTATTCTACTCTGGGTCAGCCCGTTTCTACTCGCTGCATTTATCACGGTGGAAGTTTACTTTCTTTCCCTTTAATCCTCCTATTCGTCTCAAGGCATATCCCCTCCGCCCCAAGCTCTCTTGAACATGAGCACTCTGTATCTCGACTGCCAATGGACGTCTCAGAAGGAGAAACGGCTAATCCCGCTCCCCTCTGTAGTTCGCGTCCAGTCTGGCTTTGTTTTGCGTGACCTTAGCTGGATCGTATATCCAGTGCACAGCAAACCTGGGGCACGTCATTAGCGCGCTCTTTCCATAAAAAAAAAAAAAAAAAAAAACAAAAAAAACCCAAAAAAAAACAGAAAGCCCCCCCCAGCCCTCTGCCCTCTCAGTACGCCCTGTGGTGCAGGCACAGTGTACAACATAACTCCAAGCCTCGACGATTGTTCAGGCGAGTTAATAACACCGTGTTTTATTGCATTCCTACAGGGTAAAATGAAACTCCTTAAATTCCACTTAATTAGGCAGCCTTATGAATTAATAGTCATTCTCGGGTCAGTCAATATACACAAGGAGAGTAACAGACTCTTCTTCAAGTAGACTTACAACAACAATAAAAAAGAAACAAATTTGGTGTAAAGTAGAAACAGATAACTTGTTCTGATGAACCCAGTGCATGCCGCTTGTTTATATCACCCATGCATACATCTGCAGAAAAGATCTCTACATAGATATAAGTATATATAAATTAACCTGTAAACACTATGGTAATTCCGAAAAATTTGCATTGCATTTGTCTTTTTCTGCAGTAAGTGCACTGACCGATACACACACTTTGTAGGATGCAAAGTGCTAAAAAAACCCCTCTTTTTTTATTTTTACCTTTTATTTTTAACTATTTTTATTTATGGATTTACTCCTGCTTAAAAACACTGAAGACATCAAAGGCGTCATTTTCTCCCTAAGAAGCCCTTTGCATTTGCAGTATAAGTATTAGACGAGACTGGGTTTATTACATCCCATAAGCTCTGCAGGTCTCATTCACGCTGCAGAGAAGTTAGTCTAAGCTACTGCGTATTGTTAGCCCCACAAATTCTAAGTACGCCTAAGCAGCCTAAGTCGGCTCCTCGCTGTGGTCTGTTTCTATTGCACTGACAGCAGAAACTAACGGGTGATGGCTAAGTAGTATCGTTTTCTTTGTTTTCAGGGAGATCGCAAAAAACTAACACCATCAGCCCGAGCCCTGCGGCTGTCCGGGCCGGACGTACACCAAGCTTTTCTCCTTGGGAATTAAGGCAGACACGGACAGAGGCTGAAGCCACTTACAGTTTTGTCATTGGGTTGCTGCTGCTGAAGTTGCTTCATCATAATGCTCCTTTTTTTGTCCTTGCATCGCTTGTTTTGAAACCAAACCCTGATGACCCTTGGGCTGAGGCCAGTCATTTCTACCAGCTGCTCTTTCATGAGGGCGTCAGGTCTGGGGTTGGCAGCGTAGCAGGTCCTCAAGGTGTGAAGCTGTTTTTCATTCAGGACAGTCCGGACTCGGGTTGTCTTCTCGGGCTGCTTGTGGACGTGGGGCCGCAGAGCTGGCTGTCTGGCAGAGATAGGTTCTGCTGTAAGGGAAGGGGAAGGGAGGAACAGGATCCCCATGAGTAGGAAGCAGGGAGTCTGCAGAGACTATGAATCTAAGCTGGTGGGACAGGGGAAGGTGGCGGGCGGGGGGGCGGGTGGTGAACCCTCTTTCAAAGGCCACTCAAGCACTCAGATCTATCGGAGCTGCTGCAGCCTCCTCTGCTTTATGCACTGCTGGAGTGACTGACATTTCTGACTCCACAGACAATTAATTTGCAAAAACAAACCACCCCCCTAAAACCCCTAATGACAGAAGCTTGAACCTGTGTGAAACTTGACAGGGGAGGGCAAGTTAGCTAAGGTGTATGTGAGCTAGGAAAGGAGCAGGAGGGTTTTATGTATTTACTTCCCTACAAATCACCAAAACAGAATTTTGGCCCGAAAATTAGTGAAAGAATACTTCTTAAATTAATCATAATTCGGGTCTGCTTCTTGTATAGTGAATCTAGCTCATTTTAGCCAGAAGCAGTGATAACGTGCAACAGCTCCCGGCAGTTTGACGCTTCCAAATCAGAACAAAACAGGCCAAATCCTCTTCACCATGCCAATGGAAAAAAAGCCCTGGGAGAGCTCCGTATCTCAAAGCCCGGGAGATGAGATTTATCTTAAAAAGTGGAGGTGATAGGTGCATTTGGTTATACTTTGGATGAATAATTAAAAAATATCTATCTAGTGCTTTTAAAAGGAGAGCATGCCCACCAAGTCGTAGAAACTGCCAAGAAATGCAAAACTACAGATGGCATCACATCAAGAGCTCTAAGTGTTCCTGTTGTTCTGCAATTCTTCTGTGCGTTGTGTAGCTGTAGCTGTTATGTGTAATCTGACCCAGTCGAGGGAAAAATAAAAACAGCATTTGTTTTGTTTTGTTTTTTTTCCTCAAACTGTTTAGCTAACAGTCAGAAGTGCTCGCTTTTGTACAGTCGGGTTCCGACTTTTCTAATTGTAACAATACATCAGTAAATGCGATGACGACAACATGAAGGCTTCAAATCTTATCAGTATTGTACCTGCCGACACACTAAGCCTTTCGGAGACATGGCACAAACACGATATAGGAAGCACAGTCTCAGAATTCTGCTCGGACTAGTTACGGGAGTATTTCTCCGTATATATAGATTTGTCACCTGAAAGCAGCTCAGAAGAGGGAAATGAGGCCGTTTTAGAATAGCTGTATTTACAAATAACTTTCCGAGTCACAGTCACTTGCATAGCAAAAAGGCCGGCCAAGCTTGTAGTGTCCAGCCTAGTCAGCCTCAGAGAAGTGTCCCTTCCTAAAGCTAAGGGTCTCTGAGTGCCTGACGTACCCGTCGAGAACTGGAAGTGTGAATGAAGTGGTAAGGTGGGCGACTCTGAAGTTACAAGGCTGAGTTTTGAGATGAAATTCTCATCAAATTACATGAAACGTTTCAAGAAGGCAAGAGTCACTTTAAAAGGCAATTACCGAAGATTAGCTTGTTGACAGTTTTAAATTACAGCCTAAGCGCCAGCCTGTAGTTATGAAGTCTATCTCTTTTCAGACCCTACTTCCTCCAGCGCCCAGAACAGCTCCTCCGCTCGCTCCTGAGGCAGCGGAGGGCTCTGAAAGCTCAGACCTGCTCTCCGCAGCGGTTCGTCCCACTCCGGCTCAGGCTCAGGGCTGCCCCGAGCAGTCCCGCGCTCGGAGCGCGGCGCGGGCAGGCGGAGGGCAGGCAGGAGGGCAGGCAGGAGGGCAGGCAGGCTGGGGGCGGGCGGGGCTCGGCCCCTGCGCAGGTGTTCCGCCCCTCGCCTTCGCCACCGCGGGCGCTCCCCGCGGCAGCCGGGCCCGCAGCAGCCCCGAGCGTGGGGCGCGCCTCCGCCGCCTCCTCTCCGCGGGCGCGCACGCTCAGGCCCGGCTCTCCACGGAGGCGCGGGACCCGCTGGGACCATGGGGCTCTCCCCGCGGGACCTGGCATCGCCTAACCTCGCGGGTTTCCGCGGCGCTGGGCGCGGGCGGTACCTGCCATCTGCAGCGGCCGAGCGGGATGCAGGGGGCTGAGAGGGTCCCCGCCGCCCAGGCTGGCCCTCTCCACCACGTCGTGGTCCGCCCGGCAGAAGAGGCCGTCCTCCCGCAGTGCGAATTCGTCGCCGGGGATGAGCTGGCGGCTGCAGGCCACGCAGCGAAAACACTCGATGTGGTACACCTTGGCGCGGGCGCGCATCACGAAGTCATTCTTGCTGAAGCCGATGCTGCATTTGGCGCACTTGATGCCGTATAACCTGAGCAGGGCCCAGCCCAGAAAGAAGGAGAAGGGAGGGAAGCAGGGAGAGCACGGGAGGGGGAAGGGGGAGGGCAGGGAAGGGGCGGGGGGGGGGGGGGAGGGGGGGAGAAAGGAAGGGGAAAAAGAAAGAGGTTTTCACTCCCGCTCGTGGGCAGCCCCTGGCCCCGCGTAGACGCGCCACACGCAATCCACTGCTTTAAAAAGCATGGAAAATACAGAAGCCAGAAGAGGAAAGGAACAAGCCGGATTCACTCATAGTCGGTGCCCTGAACCCCGCGCCATAAAAGGCGGAGTGGACACAAACACACCGGTGAAAGAGGAGAGTTGGGAGGCAGAGGTGTAGGAAGAAACAAAAAACCGGCCCCGTTTCTTCTCGAGGATATCCAACCTCTCCCTCTTGCCCCAGCGCTCGGGCTGCTGCAGGAGTGGGGCCATCCCTGCCCTCTCCTTGCCTCCTCACCTGACCTAGCCTGGCCTGGGTCTGAACTAGACTACCCGGGCACACCAGGGGAAGGCGAGCCTGCCGAAGCTGCCCTCCAAGACACAAACGTGCCAGCTTCACCAAATTGTGGTACTTTTCGCCCAGAACCCACTCAAGACTTGTGTCGCTTGATGTGTGCGCGGGCTGCCGTCAACTCAGCCCCCGGGACCCACCAGGGGAAACTGCCAGCGCCGGCTCTCTTCCCCTGGGCTCCTCTCACCAGCTTAATTTAATACAACAATATAAGCATAACACACATGTCTCCTCGAGCTTACACGTACAGCAGCGTAAATCCTCTCTCCCGCCCCCAACAAAAAGGCAGTTTCGGTGCTCTGACTCTGCAGCTTGTCTCTACCTCCGCGTCCTTGCCCCGTCTCTCCTCCTCCTGACGCTCCCACCTGGAGCCGGGGCTCAAACGCTCGGGTAGGAATGGGAGGGCAGCCTCTCGCTGACAGCCCCACAAAGCAAATTATGATTTTCTGGAGTGGGTGGCGGGCTCCTCGTCTCCCATGGATGAGAGGACGACAGCTCACCCGCCAGCAGACAAACATAAGAAAATGCTCCAACTCGTGTCATACTGCACGCGGTGCTTATTAGCCAGAAGTCCTTGGTATGATTAAAATTAACACCTCGCCACAAACGTATGGGTACATCCACTGAAAAATGTGCTGGTACATAAACTGCGAAAACTGTTCCTAAAACTGAGCTACTATTTATCCCCACCAATTTCCTCACCAGTATACTTCCTTAGAGAGACAGTCTGTAATATATGCTTGTGAGTATACACTTCTTTAGCTCTTATGGCTATAGAAGTGCACTAATCCTACGTTCAGAACTACATATGCCCGAATTACACAGTTTTGAGAAGGAAAAAACACAAACAAACGGCTGAACAGCAAAAGAACAGAGTGATCGTAAAGTAGGTGCATTCATAGGTACAAAAGTTGCAAGTGGTTGCCCACAGGTTTGACACATAGAGATTGGCTCATGGTCTAATTCAAAGCCATCTTGCATGTAATGTACTTTTTCCTTTTTAAATTGTAGCAAATTAAATGTATTCCGTATTAATTTAAAAGAGCTGATTTTTTTTTTTCTACTCAAATTTCCTCTGCTTAGTTCTATAAGAAGGTAAGTGAACACATTTTGGTCCAAATGTTTTCCTTTCATTTGAATTTAGAGAAAGGACAACATTTAAGAGAAAGGTTCCAGCATTGTTTTAAAAGTAAAGAATTAAAAAAGGAAAAGAAAGCTCTGGCTTTCGCCATTTTAGAACTTGGAGAATAATCTCACAATGGCTTGAAGGAATGGTCTGCTTATAAATTGTGCACTAGAGAAGGAAGGACTCGAGGGTTTTATTTCAATTCAGAATAATACAGAAATCAGAACATATCTGAGGTGGCTAGGTGTTTTCCTTCCAAAACTTTCTGCAGAAAATAAAATTGTTCATACCTCAGTGTCACGCAAACTTATGATTTGGCAAACCCAGTAGGCGACACTGAAACGGATCAGCATGACCCAGGAGCACAAATAATAAACACACTCGAAATTCCTCCTTTCGTTTCTCTATAGTGTCAGCATTGGCAACTCTCACATTTTATCAGTTACCAGATTTTAATGTGAGGAAGGAAGCGGTTCCATTATCTAAATATACCCAATTGTTCGCGAACAGATGATGGGCAATTTGATCTACTCTGTCTAATTCATCAGTACAGATAAGATAAGAAAGAAAAGCCAGTCAGATATCACCAAAGGGGTTAATATTTAAAAAAGATTAAATGTCAGTTATTTTAGCTAAGAAACATTTTGGTCTAGGTTTTAACGTCCCCGTAAAAGCATCCTCCAGTCCGAAGGAAATTTGGGGTTTGGTTTTGTTTTCTTTTTGTTTTTTGTTTTTGATAGGCCTAGTTTAAGAAGGGTTTTTTTATATTTTTTTCCCTACCCGTGTATTTACGTTTACGGCATACATGCTTGAAGTGCCTTTCTTTTGAATGCCACTATGCCTTTGCAGAAACAGAGATGCATTTCTCAGGTTGTCCTAGAAAGTGATCTGTTCCGTGTTGATCATAGTATCTACGCTACTGAAAATATTATTCGTTATCTACGTTTCTCCCCTTGGTTAGAATCACAGGATGCATTGCCAAAGTCCTCTGAACGGTCCTACACGGTCCCGAACCTGGTTCTAGGAACACAGATATCTACATTTGAAAAGAAGAAATAAAAAAACTTCACTACTAACTTTTTTCCTCGCTGGTCTATTCATGGGAAAACACATAAAGACATACCAATTATCTTTTACCCGCTTCCTCACAGTTTTCCCTCTTAATTCCTCCGCCTAATTTATAAAGTGAAAAAGAAAAATAAAATCTCACCGAACAATTAAACAACGTAAATGGCGTACCTGATATAATCTCTTTTACAGTAGGTTTTGCCATCCCTAACAAAGCACGTACAGGTCTCGTCCAAATACTGATTACACTCTGCACACTTCAAACACGCCGCATGCCATTCCAAATCCGGAGAAACCCTCAGAATATACTGATCGTGAATTTGATTGCCGCAACCAACACATAGGGAAATCAGACGTTTTTCTGAAATGAAAATAAATACATGATTGACTAACCGTTTACTCTCCTACAGAGATAAACACACTTTTAATGTCATTCCCTTATAAAGCATATTGTGGGAGCATTGTTTGGTTTCTGCCTTTTTTGTTTGTTTGCATATTTGGGGGGGGGGGGGGGGCGTTTGTTGGGGTTTTTGAGGTTGTTTTTTTTAAGAATATTACACTTTTGGATGGTAATTGTAGTGGGCTATCAAAACCTTGCCTCGCTTAGAAAGGAAGCAGAACATATGCTAAAAATGCAAATGTGAAGAATCTTTGGGGTGAAGGTCCTAATTTCAAAAACCTTACACGGAATCAAAACTCCAAACTCCCACGTTGTTCAATTTTTATTTTATTGTTGACTTGTTTGAACGCCCTGCCTTACGAGGAGAGTACCTATGTGCTTCATTTCGTATTTTAAGAGGCTCTGACTGGAAAAGATGAAGCATGGTGGGGTGCACTTCCCACTGAGCCCTTTCCCTCAGAAGAAGGGAATCGAGGCTTCTAGCAAGAACAAGCATCATTACGGTTGTCACTTGCTCTCTTTTGCAAGTCTAATGTTAATATTCCTAGACCGACTAGGTGCTGGATAGTCAGACAGCCTCACCGCAGTCTATCACGAGAAGAATTTAAGGCTCCGTGGTTGGAGATCCCATCAAAATCCTGTCTGCTCCCCGAGCTTTAAAAAAGAGTAGGACCCCAGGCTGTTAACATACAAGGCTACGACAGAGCAAGCATGCAGGCATGGTAACAAAGGCACCTTCTCTACCATTCAAATGAAGTTCACCACTTTAGCAGTTCGTCTGCCTGAGACGATTACAATAGACAGCACATTTATTCCAACAACGGTAAAGATTCCGCCTTACTTTTTGGTGGGTCTCCCATGTCTCCCATATCTGTAAGAGGGTGTAATGTCCACAGTGAAATGGTGTACGGTTTCGTTTTAAGACCCCAAAGTAGGTTTGAAAGCTGTCGCTAAAAACAAGAATAATAATAATAATAATAAAAAATAGAAGTATTAACAGAGGCAAAAAAAAAAAAAAAAAGGAAAAAATCGAAATCGGAAAAAAAAAAGGGGAAAAAAAAAAAGAAAATGGTACAAAACACCACCGGCGTGGGAGACACTGTCAGGGCTGCGGAGAGAGAAGGGGACGCGCGGTGAGGCGCGGTGCGGGGCGCGGCGCCGGGGGCGCGGCGGGGTCCGTCCACGCGTGGCGGCGCGGGCGCGGTGCGGAGCGGTGGCGGCGCAGGAGCGGCGCGGCGAGGCGCGGTGCGGTGTGCGGTGCGCGGTGCCGGGTGCGGTGCGGAGGCGCGGCGGTGCCGGACTGGGCGCTGGCGGCGCGGGCACTCGCCTCGCCCTTATCTCTTACTCAAACTTCTCTGCTCCAACTCAGCCCGCTCGCCATTGGCGCGACGTCACGCGCGGGCACGTCACGCCCGCGCACGGCCATTGGCTGCGGGCCGCGCGGCGCAGCTGCTCCATTATCATATTTCAGCGTCTGGCGGCGCGGCCGCCCGGCTCGGGTTCGCGCGGCCAACTTTTCCTCGCTCCTTATTTGTATTTCCCTTTATACTTTCGGCTTGTCGCTCTCCTCCATCGCCGTCGCTTATCTCCCGTCACACCTTTCATTTTCCTTCCCGGCCCCCGCTCGGGCTCCTATACCCCTTCCCCCGTCCGGGCTTGCTGCGCCACATGCGCTGTTTCCATATGGATATTTACATATACATATACTTATATACGTACACACATATACCTATACACCTATACATATACATATGTCTATATTTGTGTGGGTATATATATATATATATGCATATATATATGTGTGTGTGTATATATGTGTGTGTATATGTGTGTGCATATGTGTGTGTGTATATATATATATATGTATGTATGTATGTATATGTAATTTTTTTGGTGGTAGTGTTAACCCAACTGTTTTCCTCCTGAGCATTTGTCTTTCCCCGGCGGGTGCCACGCTCTGCTTTGCCCAGGCGGAGATGCCCCTGAAGAGGGAGGGTAGGGCGGGCTGGCTGAGCACGAACCCCAGCCACGAGATGGGACTGTTTACGTTTCTCCTCCAGCCTCTTTCTCTTAAATTCATGGATAGACTCTTCAATATTTCAGTTAAACACAAGATCGAAGAAGGTACAAATATTTACCTTAAATTGTCTCTCAAGAACTTCTGCCTCTCTCCAACCAAGAGAATCCCTTACAGTTCTTATTATTAAAAAAATAAGAGAGAAAAATAAGGAAAAAATAAGGGGGGAAAAAAAGGAAAGAAAAGAGGAGGAGGGGGTGGGGAGAAGTCGCGGATTTGCTGTCGGAGCGGACCTGCGGCGCTGCTCCCTGGAGGCGATGTGGGGAGTCCTCACCCGAGAGCCGCGGGCAGGAGAGGTGCCGTGCGCTGTCCGCGCCTTCGTCTGCGCAGCGGCGCACGGCGCCCCTCGGATTCCAGAAGGCAGTCATCTGAAAGTTTCCCAAACTGGGCAAAACGCATCTTAGACAGGGGCACTGCTTTCTTTGTGTGTGTGTTTTTCAAAGGGCAGATTCCACTTCGGCTACTTGGTGCCCGCCCTTCAGTCTGTGCAGAACCGTACCCGAGCACGACTGTCCCATGCTCTTCGGACACCCTCTCTCCACACCCGGATTTAAACGTTCCCTTTGAGTTTGTCTAGATCCCATTTTTGTCTTCTGTTCCATATGGGCTATTATACCGCCCTCATCAACGTAGGGTAGAAGTACCCTCCAATCACTGTTCATCAGGAAAATATACTTGTTTTCAATGTCCCATGTTTGTACGAGGCAACCGAGTTTGGGTCTAAGAGAGGCAAAGCCATATTCATGCAGAATAATTTTCCACAAGGATGTCTGATTGGGATGAAACAGCCAAGAAATAGTTCTGAAACTCGCATATGCTGCTGAGAGAGCTACTAATCAATGGACAATCTTGCATTTCTAACTTACTTTGCAAGATGTTTTTCTTTCCGAAGCTGAGGGAGCAAACACATCCTCCAGGTTTATTTCAAACAAGAAGCGGGACCCAGTATTGCCGCTTGCGGAGATAACTAAACTACCCTGAAATGATCTCAAGATAGTGTCAGGAGGTAAAGATATGGTTGTAAACACGGGCACACAGCTAATTTACATATCCGACGTTTAAATAAACGGTGTGATACGCAACTCCTCTGGGTGATCACTTCCACACCCAAGAAACTGGAAGTATACAGATATGTGGGGGTGGTTATTTACATGGGTATATAGCAAATATTCTGTATACTTGCAACTACGAATACTTAGGCATTTAGGTATCAGAGTAGTAGCTGTAATTCTCTGTGTTACTTAAGCAAAGCAAAAAGCAGTTTGGAAGACTTCTGAGCCGGGCAGCTTCGGACAGCCTGGCACAAGTTTGGGGCAGACCGCCTGTAATAGCCAATTTCACTGAAATCCCCAGCTGCAGGGTCGTCCCTGCACCGCTCTCCGGGCCGGATGCGCTCGGCGGCGCCCGGTTTCTGCTCGTGTGCCTGCTGGCCCTGCCGCTGGCGGCGGGGCTGGCGCGGTGCGGGGCTGGCGCGGTGCGGGGCTGGCGCGGGCCTGGCGCGGGGCTGGCGCGGTGCAGGGCAGGGCGGTGCGGGTCAGCGCGGTGCGGGGCAGTGCGGTGCAGGGCAGGGCGGTGCGGGTCAGCGCGGTGCGGGTCAGCGCGGTGCGGGGCAGTGCGGTGCAGGGCAGGGCGGTGCGGGGCTGGTGCGGTGCGGGTCAGCGCGGTGCGGGGCTGGTGCGGTGCGGGGCCGGCGCGGTGCGGGTCAGCGCGGTGCGGGGCAGTGCGGTGCGGAGCTGGTGCGGTGCGGGGCTGGCATGGTGCGGGTCAGCGCGGTGCGGGGCTGGCACGGTGCGGGGCAGAGCGGTGTGGGGCCGGCGCGGTGCGGGGGTGACGCGGTGCGGAGCTGGCGCCGGGCGCTCCGCGGGGCAGCGCGGTGCGGGGCCGGCCTTCCGCCGCTCGGGGCGCGCAGGCTGCGCGGCGACCTCTGCTGGCCGCGGGGCGAGCGAGCGCGGCCCCGCGCGGAGGCGGCGGCGGCGGGCGCGTCTCGGACCTTTTGTGTCCTTCCTCCCGGTGCGCTGCAAATGCCATCCTCTAGCTCTCCCCGAGGGGCACCCCTCCTTTCGGCCCCCACCCCACCACCTCTCCCCGGGGTGACCTCGCTTGCCGCGAGCTGGAAAATCGTCCGAGTAATTAAAAAAAAAAAAAAAAAAAAAAAAAGGTCACCCAATGGCTAAGAAAAAGAAAATTCCAGGATTTCATGAAACTCGAAGAGAAAAGATGTTTTCCCGTACTGCGTTCTAGGCATTTTTTCCCGCTTAGATGTTTATATATACTTTTAAAACATGACCTGCTTAAAGTACAGCTCCTCCCATACTTGAAATAACACATCTTATTTCTCACCGTTAGACCCTTGATGGAAAATAATTCAATCTGATTGTAATTCTATTAACCCCCACAGCCTAACTTTTGGTTTAACTACTACTTCTGGGAGAGGTGACTGCATTTTAAGCTTGATCGTTGCAAATGATGTGCAATAAGAGAGAAACCTGTCTCCGCCCCACAAACCAGGATTGGGAAAAAAGGAGGGCTTTGATCAAGGGGATTTTTCCCCTCCCGTGCTACTGATTTGCTTACTGTGTATTCGATTCGCGTTACCAGTAAGGCGAAGCTCTATATTTAGCCGGCATCAGAATCAGGTTTAAGGGAGTGTAATAATGAGTGGAACTGCCAGTTTCAATGAATAAGGTATTTAGAGGAAAACCCTGGTGAAGGATATCACTATACACGTGAATGGGAAGACGTAAACCGAGATTTGTACATATATGAGACACTTCCGAAAATACATGTTTTTTCCCTCCCCTCTATCGTATTTATTTACTTTAGGGATGGGGGCTGGGAAAGTCTGCTAAAAGTCGGTGACTCTACACAGAAATCAATAGCTTTCATCACGTTGAGGGGCTCAAATGAGATTATATGCATTCGAGGGAAGGGAATGGGGGCAAAAAACAAAAAAACAACAAAAAAAAAAAATCACAACCCCCAACCCAACAGCGGCGATTAACCCTTTCCGTCCTGTAAAGAACCGCTATAAATTCTGTCCTGGGTTTGCTTAGTGGCAAAAACTAGGATGGTTTCCCAGGGGAGACAAAAAAAAAAAAAAAAAAAAAAAAAAAAAAAAAAAAAAAAATTAGCTAAATCAGCTTTGGGAAATGATTAAGGAGGTGTTGCTGGCTTCGGAAGAGAGGAAGTGGGTTCTCCAGGGGCTGGAGAGAAGGGTGAGATGCCCTTGCTGAGGCGGTGCCGGGCTGCGGCGGCCGTGTGCCGGGTACGCAGGGACAGACAGCCAGGGCTCCTTGGTCGCCCCTCCGGCGCTCGTCGCGTTCAGCGTCCCGGGGCTCAGAAGGGGGGACCTGGCCGCAGGACACAGCGAATCTCCCGCTCCGGTCGGAAGAGCTGTTTCTGTGCCACGCCACGGCGGTGGCTCAGCGCAGCCTCGCCGGGCACGCAGAAAGCCTCCTTGAGTCTGCTCCGTTTTAAAACTTGAGGAGCTTTGGACCAAAAAGATGCTTTGCAAGAAGCGTCCGGAACTGAGGTTCCCAGAGGTTCAGATTTCCCCTCCCTGTCTTGCGGAACGTGGTGAGGAGCCCGTGCGGTGGACGTGCCGAGAGGGGAAGAGGTTTCGCACAAGGCTGAAACTGGAAACAGCTCAGCGGGGAAATCAATCACGAAATGAATTAGCTGCTCCGGGGTGTAGGCTTTGACTCATCTAGAGGTGTGCGATCTTTAATCTTCAAGTCTTAGCTACTGCATGTGAGGGAGAAGTGCACCTTAACAGCACTAAATCTATCAAAA